GAGTTTGCGCTGTTTGGACGTTTCTGCGAGAAGTTATGATTTTCACGAAAATTGCCAAATTAATTAATTTTGTCGTTATCCATAGTAAACTCGATATTCATAACTTCTCACAGAGATGTCCAAACAACACAAACTTTTCACAGATGCAAAGGGTAGGCCAAAAAACATATGTACTGACGATTTCAGATTTTTCTGCAGCATTCCAGATTTTTGGTGACCTAACTTAAAATGGTCAAAGTTTGCATGGCCTTAGTTTTCCATTTTTATCTCTGCACTCAGTGCCATACAAAAGCTCCTCGAAACAGCGCTTGAAAGCGGAATATTTATTCTTTTTAACAAAAATACAGGCAAGCAAATCCGTTTAAATCTGGCGAAATTACAAATTTTTGAAAATGAAACGACAGAACTTTTGCACCCACCTAATATACAGGGTGTCCCAAAAAGATGTGCACACTGTTTGATCGTTAATAACTCTCTTGCTTTTGAGTCTTTCGCCAAGCTTGAGGCACCATTCTATAGAGCGAGGTTCAACTTAGATCTCCAGTATGGAGCGAATCATCGACCGCTCTTCACTACTGTAGGATTACGGTAGGAACTTTGACAAGAATTTTAGGCCATTGAAGGCCATATTCTGCCTCGGAGCAAAACCTATCAAGCCAATAACTTTTACACTATGGTAATAAAAGCCGCTGATTTCGAATATGAAATTTCCACTTTATTGCGATGCTTATTTTCAAGGTTATCTCAGAAAAGCCGTAATAACTGAATTTCCAGCATTTGTCAGAAATGTAATTACACCGTCAAAAAAGCTGAAAACACTCATAAAAAGTACTTAGGTGGAATCAGCATGCATGAAAACCCTAGTACACGATTTTTCAGATTTTTTGAAAAAATTTTGTTAAGGGGTATGTTTCTCAATGGTTTCATATGCTAGAAGTTCTTACCGTAATCCTACAGTAATGTACAGTGGTCGATGATTCGCTCCATACTGTAAATCTAAGTTTAACCTCGCTCTATAAAATGGTACCTAAAGCTTCTCGAAACACTTCATTACAGGAGAGTTATTTACAATCAAACAGTGTGCACATCTTTTTGGGACACCCTGTATATATTAGGTTGAACCGAAAGTTCGTTCGCACCATTTTCAAAAAATCATAACTTCTTTCCGTCACGACGATTTCGAGAATTTTAAATTTTGTTAGAAAGCGTAATGCATGTGGTTTCCAAGGGACCCCTGGTGACTTTCCAGCATGTTCAGATTGTAGAGATAAAAATGAAAGAACGAAAACTTCCGAAATTCGGAATTTTTGAGAAACAATTCCAAAAATCTAGAAACTGCGCGATAAAATCCAGAAAAGCCATCATCCTAATTTTTCTTATATTTGATTACTAATTGAGTTAAGTTTGTGCTGATCGAGCTCTTCTTTCGAAAGTTATGATTTCTTGAAAAAAAAATGCCGAAAAATCAATTTCTTAGGAATTCTTAGGAAAGTGATTTTTCGGAACTTTTTTCAAAAAATCATAACTTTTGAAAGAAGAGCTCGATCAGCACAAACTTGACTCAGTTAGTAATCAAATATAAGAAAATTTAGGATGATGGCTTTTCTGGATTTTATCGCCGTGTTTCTAGGTTTTTGGAATTGTTTCTCAAAAATTCCGAATTTCGGGTGTTTTCGTTCTTTCATTTTTATCTCTACAATCTGAACATGCTGGAAAGTATGCAGGAGAGTATTGGAAACTAGATGCTTTTCGCTTTCTAACAAAATTTAAAATTCTCGAAATCGTCGTGACGGAAAGAAGTTATGATTTTTTGAAAATGGTGCGAACGAACTTTCGGTTCAACCTAATATATATACAGAGTGTCCCAAAAAATGTATCGAACGTTTGATCGTTAATATCTCTCCTCTAAAGAAGTCCTTTCTCTTGTTTCAGGTACCAATAGAGCAGGCTTCAACTTAGATTTGCATTATAGAACGAATCACTCATTTCTCTTCATTACTGTAGGATTACGGTGAAATCTTCAAAGAGGGTTTTAAGCAATGAAAGGCCATATTTTGCTTTAGAAAGGAGACAAAACAGCCTGAAAGCTTTTACATCAAGCTAATTAGAGTTGTTGATTATAACTGTAAAGTTCTCAACTTATTATGATGTTTCATTGAAGAGTTATGCCAGTTAAGAGGTAGCGGCCATTTTTTCAATATTCCTAAAAAGTGCGATTACACCGTTTTGAAAGCTTCGTAATCTTGTGAATAGTTGAGTATCAAACTCAGCGTCCATAAACCCCAATACACAAGTCTTTACATTTTTTTTGAAAAATTTTGAAACGGTAGCTTTTTTCTACATTGACACCATATGTTTCAAGTTTCTACCGTAATCCTACAGTAAAGAAGGGAGATGGGTGATTCGTTCTATAATGCAAATCTAAGCTGAAGCCAGCTCTACAAAACGGTACCTGAAGCAAAGCAAAAGACTTCTTGGGAAGAGAGATATTAACGATCAAACGTTCGATACATTTTTTTTGGGACACCCTATATATATATATTCTCCCGGTGCTCACTATTTATGATGCTATATAAGCCTGCAGCTCTCACCTCGCACATTTTGACGAGCTGCCGGCAGGTTAGTTTCCGAATTTGGAAGCAGCTTTTTTGCCAATCTCGGTCTTTCTATGAGGGGAGTGAGTTACATCTCAGGTTATAAAGCATACATATTTTTTCAAAACAGCTGCGGCATTCTTAGACATTTCTTTCGTAAGCATGGTTTTTGAGCCTTAGATTTGAGAACTCAGTTTTCGATGCTATGACCTCAAGTCGAGTTGACAGCAAGGCGGCGAAACCTGCCGCCAGGCGGGATATTATTTCCTTCACTAATCTTATAGAACAATCGTATTTTTATCGCAGAAGTTTCTGAATTTGCACAGGATTGGCTTTTACTTTTTGATCAATATTTAGACGTCGATGATTAGTATTCAATAGAGCTCACTGTTTTATAATCTCATTGAAGCCTATTTTTTCTTGGAGGACAAACGTCGATGAGACTGAGCAAACATTGACCGCTCACAGACGCAAGTCATCGATGTCTGAACAATTGATCAAGAGGTACCAATTCTTGGATAAGAATGTGCATTGATAAAAGCAAAAATGGCAGCTCAAAAGTTTCAAGTTTTATCTATCTTGGGTGACGGTGCTCATGATGTATCGACAGCAAATTCAGTAGTCGCTTGGTCTGAGGATCTAAGAGGTGAAAAGTAAGAGCGCCCGACGAGGTTGATATAACCCAAGGATTGATTCTCTGAGCGTGGGACTGCCAACAAGTTGGACTAACTTGAGAGATTCATAAAGATCATTATAGTATTTGAGATAACTAGCATACTTTTTCAGTTCACATCAGATAATTTCAAGTATTCTAATATAATTATTTTCGTAAATCTTGCGAGCTATGATAATAGCAACATCAGCTCGTTACCTTCATCAAACGGACGCGGACTCTGTATTCTACCGGATGCATTTTTACCTAAAGGGCTTCCAAAGTGCTAATTTTTGAGACGGTTCAAGACTGAGCTCAACTTTCTCTACCCCATAGATGACAAGACGTCGAGCCCGTTTTAAGACTCCACGAAATCGCGGGGATTTAGATGAAAAAATAAATCAGCTATCAAGCTAACAGATCCGAGCGCCTTTTAGAAATATAGAATAAAACCGAGTAATTGAATTGTTTTTTCCAGCGTCCGGTGTGGATTTTTCAGAGAATAACCAGTGGTGGATACAAACTGCGACTGAGTTAGTAGATTTGGTAAATCTCCAAAATTCAGTCCTGGTAGGCATGGCCGTTGGGGCCGCTTAACGCGATTGTACGAAATCCAAGCTTCCGAAACTGTCGTTAAAAATACTTGATCACAGGATACGCTGACAATTTTTTGAGATTTACAATTATCAAGGCCAAAAAATTTGTTATTTCTGTACATGAACAGCTGAAACAGACCTTTGGCCCTGCTAATACTAATAGCAACCGTGGCGTTAAGTTTGCTTCGCAGAGCCCAATGGTTTATTATTTACGTGAGTTTTTCCCGCTTTCATGACAACGGCTTAAACCAGCGAATGCTGACTATCATGACTGGACTGTGAACTATCATCATAAATAAACTATTTACCCGATACCTTTCCGTCATTGCTACCCATTTTTTCGGGCTGTTCTAAAAAAATACGTTCTTCAGCCCTGAAATTTTTTCCTATAGAGCCTACGTGACACGTGTCTGCCAGAAATATTTTCAAAAATTTTTTTTCAGGGAATATATTTTTAAGCGAATTTATTTCTATCAAATTTTCCAAGCCGGGAAGCCAGAGATTTCGAAAAAGCATGTGAGCTTATGTGTTAGCATCTGGAAATTTTTTTCAACTTCTAAGGCCAAAAAATTCTTATTTCATCAGCCATGAAAACTCTCGATTATAGCACATTTTGAGAAAATTCACTTTTAAACGCTTCTTATCATGATTTACGACACTTATATTATTTACGTGAGTTCTTAATGTTAATTGGTACATAGCAAAGTACACTTTTTGAAACTGTCTTATTGAATATAATGTCGGAATGGCTTTTTGTTCAGCCACTTATCTACAAAGGAGGTCATAGCTTTGAGAAGTTCAAGTGCAGTATTTCTCAATCACAGTGAAAAAAATATTGGCTTAAAACAACGCCTTGCAGCAGGATTCCTAAACTGCATGTGCGCTTGAAGAACGTTGTTGGAGGAGTGCAATGATTGGAAAACGATAAATTTGATTCTATATAATACCGTACATGACACACAAACCGTGACGGCATAAAGACGTGTCATTTGATTATGTCTTGATCCAGACTGGGAGAATGTTTAACTGTTTTAGCACTGTTTTAGCACTTCTTTAGCATTCTTAACACTCTTTAGCACGCATATTGCTCAATATGTTGAATTTTTCGTCTATGATGCATAGATCTCTGAGAAAATTCCGTTCATGCCATACATTTTCAGTTCTTCCTAACGAGGATGAGGACGAAGTTAACGATGGTAATGATCTCAAAACTACATATTTTTGTAGGTGAGAGGGAAAACGTTTTCTATATTCAAACGAAGAGAGGACCCTCTTAGCTGGTGATCTGGTTGTTTTGCTGCTAGTTTAGAGGCGAGCACGTGCACGTTTAACCAAACTTTTAAACCGCTTTCCTGAAGGTTTTATTGTGTCTGCTTCCTCTTACTTCCCCTTGTCTACCTTCCTTCTCCTCACGACGTCTACGGTATCCTTTTTACATAATCAAAGATCAAAAAGCAAGTACGAAAGGAAGCTGCAATGTTGGGGGATAAAGCACCTTAGAAAAGTGACAATAATGGAGTTCCGCATAGAAATGAATTAGATTTGAATTGCAAGGCTTCGAAGTTTCTTACGCTAAAAAAGCGGCTACAAAAGTACGTAGAAATAGAATGAAATAAACAGCCAAGGAATGCTGAAAAGCGCCACTAAAGAAATGTTGAGCAAAACACGTCTGAAAGGAAGTCCTGCATTTAATCAAAACTGGATCTTGAGTGCATATCTATGGGAATTTTGCTATTTAGAGTTTGAGCAAGGAAAAATGCAGCAAGAATTTGTGAAATGTCACTATGTATTTTACTGCACAATGACAAGGGAATATCCAATTTTTGAAGCGGTTAAATGTAAGGATTCGGCTTCGAAATTATCACAATAAACTACTAACGTGAATCTCTTTGTAGCCGTATTTTTCTCTACAGTAATCTCTTATTAGCGCAAGCTACGGTTATTTTGCACAAAATTCACATAATTTCAACCGGTTTCTTCCTTCCAAATAAGTTGAATTGTTGATATATGAATTGAGAATTGTGGTCGGTTGAAAGCACCCTATTTTTAGATGTCTAAGCCGCACTTTTTCAAATTTTCAAAGCTGCTCAGCCGCTTCATTGAGTTTCGAGAAGCGGTCCTTATGCCGCACGATTCTTTCAGGCAATACGCAGCACGGTATAGAGTCCTTTGGTTGCGAGTTCCTTTGATGTGTTCGGGCTGGTCAATGTAAACCAAGACTACCCCGCGGCTTATACAGTTGAAAATAGGGTAACAAATAAATCGATTGAAATTAGAATCGAGAAAAAGGCATTTTTTTTCGACTACGACTCCCATCCCCTGAAAGCCCCTAGACAACACCTCCTCCCTTATCTCCACCTTCGGGTTCGCTTGACAAATCCTCTTTATCTCAAAAAAAAAAAAATTTTTTTCATCCAAGTCTTTTAAGATTTGCTAACGGAAATCTCGAGAATTCTATAATGGGCTTTGAACCTCCACTTGTTTCAGCCTGATTACCACGGAGTTGAAGCACCAGTTCAAAAAACGCGGTGGTTAGAATTATAGCAGCACTTCTTAATCCGCTAGTTGAAAGCTGTCTGATTTCAGGTTTGATTCGTCTGATTCGAAGACTGATAAATAGTATAGCGTCGATACGAGTATAAGAAATACTTCTTCTACTTCAAGACTGAGTTAATCGACTTTGATTAGCGCTTTAGACATTAGAAACATTAAAATTCGATAGGTGATAATTTGTAGAATAATTTGTCACGCTCATTATGAAAATCATAACCAATCTACAAAGCAAACTTCTTTGATAATCTTAGGTTATGAGATAAAGATAGAGAATTGAAAGCTAACTGAGATTTGAGGGTGGAGTTAATCATGTGTCGTTCGAAGTTGTGTTAGGTGTGATATCCACCAGTTTAGCGCATTTCTTCATCACCTTACTCGATCCTAGTATTCCCTCAACTTTTTGAAGGAACGCGTTCTCGATTACGATTTTTATCCCCCCCCCCCCCGGAGTGGGCACGCCTGACCCCACGCCCAGCCCTGATCCAAATTGAAAATGTCCATCTGAGATGAGATACACACTAAACCGTTTGGACTTTATGGATTGAATACAATTATTCCTGCGATGCGACGGTTAACGAGCTATGAGGGTTCGAATTTTTGGATATACGCTTCGAATGCATCTTCCAGCTTTGGTGTAATGGTGAGGGCTTCCGTTCCTGAAGTTGGTTCCAATCCTTTGTAGTAAAATTTTGCTTGCATTTTTTGAATGAAATTTTATTTCATTCGCATTGGTTTAGCAGCTAAAATCCAAATTTTCGAAACAGCGAGTAATTCTAAACGCATTTATATAGCAGATGTATTGCAAAAGTACAGTTGTGACCGTGGAATTTGTCCAAAATTGCGGGATTTTCGGGATTCGCGTTGTTTGCGGGATTGGCGACTTCACGGGATTTGCGGGATTCGCGGGATTTGCGGGACTTGCGGGATTTAGCTATAACTTCTCTTAAATCCACTTTATTTGCAATCTGCGTGTAGATTTGGCTTCAGCTTGATGAGACGAATCGTTTGATATACAGTATGTCAGTAATTCGTGGTGACGGGGTAGACATGCAATAAATCTTTGTTTTTCTCTATGATAACGCTTTTTTGATCACCTACCACAGTGTATATCGCGAATAGCAGGTTCTGGTACGGAGTTTTCATTATCGAAAACTATCGCAAGAGATTAAGCCTTTTTTATTCACCCTTATCACTGATATAAGCATTTTATCATTAATCGCCGATAATATCACATTTTTGGATCATTTTTTTGCATATGGCAAGCAAAGTACGGTAGGAAAAGCTGTGTGAATTTCAATCGCTCTTTCTCTCATTATAAGTGATCTACAGGCTTTTCTAGTTCTATTGCTCGGTGCAATTGGTACCTTCGATTCGTTGCGCACAAAGATTGCGGACTTATCGGCGCCTCCGTGATCAAGCGCTCTTTCGTTCCTCTTACCACCTGCTGTCTCTCCCACGCACCAGCTATTTTGGTCGTACGCAATGGCGCCCAGTCTTTGTGCGTCTTGAATCGACGATAGATTCCTCGCTGCAGCAATCGATCGATTTTTCATCGGCACATGCCATTGCT